ATGTCCGTACCACAGGTGTGAGTCTCCGGGCAGGTGTGTAGGGGCGGATGAGCTCAGAGAGGTAAGGTGGCGCATGGTTATTTAGAGATTTGAAAACAAATAAGAGGATCTTGAAAATAACTCTAAAATGTATGGGGAGCCAGTGAAGGGATGCCAGAGTAGGAGTTATGTGCTCCCTCTTACGAGTACCGGTCAAGAGGCGAGCAGCGGCATTCTGGACCAGCTGGAGACGCTTAATGGAAGACTGGCTGACTCCAAAGTAAAGGGCATTGCAGTAATCGAGCCGGGATGTGACAAAGGCATGAATTACTGTCTCAAAGTGTTCATGAGAGAGGAGAGGTTTTACTTTGGCCAGCTGTCTAAGGTGAAAGAAGCTGGATTTAACAACGGCACCAATTTGCCGGTCAAGTTTGAAATCACTGTCCAGTTTAAGGCCCAAGTTTGAGACTGTTGACTTAAGATAAGGAGACAGGAGGCCCAAGTCAACAGGATGGGATGTGCAATTTTTCATTGTCCAGTCGGGAATAAAGCCCACATAAAATTTATTTTGTGTTCAGTCTAGTCTTTCCAAAGACCCGGCTACATGTACAAACACACACAAATGTTTTGTTTTTTTTTTCTCCTCACCACCTTTCGGATCTCAATGGGATGAGTCCTAGATCTACCGGTAGATCAGGATCGACGTAATGGGCACCCCTGGACCTCGAACTGACGTCCAAAAACGCTTATTCATGGAACACTGTGAAAACTAAAATACATTTCAACGTGAACAATCAATAATCTGTTTAACAAGACATGAAACAAATCAGCAAAAATAACATACCGTGTGCACCTTGTTCAACCGAAAGTAGATAAACTAAAATAAAGTCGATCAGACAGTCACGTTTCGTCTCTCCCTCGCCATCTTTCTTTCTGGATCTCTCTCTCTCCCTCTCTTATTCCTTCGCAATCCGCCACACGTGACCCTGAACCGGAAATGGTCATCGAGAAAACATCCGTTCTCTGCCATTTGCTGGTCGGCGTTTGTTATTGCAGCCTTCTGAAAGAAACCCATATTTATTTTGACCCCACAAGAGAGACCGATTTGGACGTGCATGGCCATTTCGATCACTGCCATCTGCTGGTCAAGATTTGCCATTGCAACCTTCTGAAAGAAGAACATACGACTTGCTATTACCCTCGAAAATCAGTAGGAACACAAAATGCCTCCCCCCCGTGATGATAATTGTGGGACATTTGGTGGATTTCTTTGATTTCAGAACACCAAAAACGTTACAATTCTTTCACAAGGTCGTTCTTCACCACTGTTTCCACCTTGTTTGGAACTTCTTTCTCAATTGCGAGAAGAGCCCCATCCGGACGTGCACGGTAGAAGTTCGTCTATTCCCTCTGCTGGTCATAGTTTGTCATTGCAACCCGATGAAAGAATACCATCTTGCTGCATTGCTTACCCTGAAAAGTCGATCACTGCCGTCTGTTGGTCACAGTTAGTCATTGCAACCGTTTTCAAGATGATCATAGTTCTTATTTCCCTCGAAATATCAGCAGTTACACATGAAGGCAGCAATGTGAAGATCATTTTGTGACATTTTTTTTTTAATTTCTCAACGAAAACAATGGCAATTAGTTCACAACGGTGGTTCTTCCACGCTGTTTCCACCTTGTGAACTGACCTTCGCTCGCAGTTGCGAGACCGATTGGGACGCGCACGGCGGAAGTCCGTTACTGCCATCTCCTGGAACTATTCTGTCATTGCAACATCCTTGAATACCACACGATTTCTGATGACAATCGAAAAATCAGCAGGAACACAAAATGGCCCCCCTGTGAGGATAATTGCGTGACATTTGGTGGATTTTTTTTTTTTTATTTCGGAACACAAAAAAATGTTACAATTAGTTCACAACGGTCGGTTTTCACCACTGTTTGCACCTTGTTTTCGGATCTTCTTCACTCTCAATTGCGAGAAAGGCCCTATTGGGACGTGCAAGGCAAAAGTCGATGACTGCCCTTTTGTGGTCACAGTTTTTCATTGCACCCTTTTGAAAGATGACCATATTATTTATTACCCTCGAAAAATCATCAGGAACACAAAATGCCCAGCTTGTGAAGATAATTTTGCGACAACTGATGGATTTTTTGCATTTCTGAAAACAAAAAACACTGCTATTCATTCACAACGTTCGTTCTTCCCCACTGTTTCCACCTTGTTTTTGGATCTTCTTCGCTCTCAATTGCGAGAAGAGCCCCATTGGGACGTGTACGGTAGAAGTTCGTCTATTCCCTCTTCTGGTCATAGTTTGTCACTGCAACCTTCTTAAAAATAACATTTCTCACTGCCATCGAAAAGTTAGCAAAACGACAAAATGGACACTCAGTGAAGATAATTCTGCGACATTTCATGAATTAAAAAAAAAATTCTAAACACGAAAAATGTGACAATTAATTCACAGTGGTCGTTCTTCAGCTGTTTCCACATTGTATATGGGTCTTCTTTGCTCTGAAATGCGAGAGCCCTCTTTGGCCGTGCACAGCAAGCGCCGATAGCTTCCCTCTGCTCGTCAGAGTTCGTCACTGTCACCTTCTGAAAGAATACCATTTTATCTCAATACCTGACAATAGAAATCCACTTGGACGTGCAAGACAAAAGTCGATGGCTGCCTTCTGCTGGTCAAAGTTTGTCATTGCAATCTGATGAAAGAATACCATATTTCTGATCACATTCGACAAATTAGCAGTAACACAAAATGGCCATCTTGTGAAGATAATTTTGTGACATTTGATGGATTTGTTTAAAATTTCTGATCACAAACAACGTTACAAACGAATTCGCAACGGTCGTTCTTCACCGCCGTTTCCACTTTGTGTATGGCTCTTCTTCGCTCTCAAACGTGAGAACCCTCTTTGGCCGTGCACAGCAAGCGCCGACAGCTTCCCTCTGCTCGTCAGAGGTAGTCACTGCCACCTTCTGAAAGGGTACCATATTATTTCTTATTACACTATGTATCTACCCCCGTCAAGGACTACGCCTCGAACTGACGTCCAAAAACGTTTATTCGTGGAACACCGTGAAAACTAAAAGACATTTCAACACCAACAATCAATAATCTGTTTAACAAGACATGAAACAAACGTACCATGTGCACCTTGTTCAACCGAAAGTAGATTAACTAAAATCAAGTCGATCAAACAGTCACGTTTTGTCTCTCCCTTGCCATCTTTCTTTCTGGATCTCTCTCTCTCCCTCTCTTATTCCTTCGCAATCCGCCACACGTGACCCTGAACCGGAAATGGTCATCGAGAAAACATCCGTTTTCTGCCATCTGCTGGTCATGGTTTGTCATTGCAGCCTTCTGAAGAAACCCACATTATTTATTTTTACCCCACAAGAGAGACCGATTTGAACGTGCATGGCCATTTCGATCACTGCCGTCTGTTGGTCAAGAGTTGCCATTGCAACCTTCTGAAAGAAGAACGTACTATTTGCTCTTACCCTCGAAAATCAGTCGGAACACAAAATGCCTCGCCCCCGTGAAGATAATTGTGGGACATTTGGTGGATTTTTTTGATTTCAGAACACAAAAAACGTTACAATTCTTTCACAACGGTCGATCTTCACCACTGTTTCCACCTTGTTTGGAACTTCTTCGCTCTCAATTGCCAGAAGAGCCCCATCCGGACGTGCACAGTAGAAGTCTGTCTATTCCCTCTTCTGGTCACAGTTTGTCATTGCAACTTTCTTAAAATACCAGAATATTTCTTATTAACATCGAAAAATTAGCAATACGACAATATGGCCACCCAGTGAAAATAATTCTGTGACATTTCGTGGATTAAAAAAAAAAATCTGAACAGAAAAAACGTGACAATTAATTCACAACGGTCGTTCTTCACAACTGTTTCCACATTGTGTATGGCTCTTCTTTGCTCTGAAATGCGAGAGCCCTCTTTGGCCGTGCACAGCAAGCGCCGATAGCTTCCCTCTGCTCGTCAGAGTTCGTCACTGTCACCTTCTGAAAGAATTCCATTTTATTTCTTCATACCTGACAAGAGAGCCCCACTTGAACGTGCAAGGCAAAAGTCGATGACTCCCTTCTGCTGGTCATAGTTTGTCATTGCACTCTGATGAACTAATACCATCTTGCTGCATTGCTTACCCTGAAAAGTCGATCACTGCCATCTGTTGGTCACAGTTTGTCATTGCAATCGTTTTCGAGATGATCATATTAGTTCTTATTTCCCTCGATAAAAATCAGCAGTTACACATGAAGCCAGCGCCGTGAAGATCATTTTGTGACAATTTATGGATTTTTTTAAAATTTCTGAACGAAAACATCATGACAGTTAATTCACAACGGTGGTTCTTCCCCGTTGTTTCCACCTTGTGTATTGACCTTCTTCGCTCTCGGTTGCGGGAGCCCCACTGGGACGTGCACGGCAGAAGTTCGTTACTGCTCTCTGCTGGTAATATTTTGTCATTGCAACATCCTTGAAGAATACCACACGATTTCTGATGACAATCGAAAAATCAGCAGGAACACAAAATGCTCCCCCTGTGAAGATAATTGTGTGACGTTTGGTGGATTTTTTTTTTTTTTCGGAACACAAAAAACGTTACAATTAGTTCACAACGGTCGTTTTTCACCACTGTTTCCACCTTGTTTTCGGATCTTAACTCTCAATTGCGAGAAAGGCCCCATTGGGACGTACACTGCCCTTTTGTGGTCACAGTTTTTCATTGCACCCTTTTGAAAAATGACCATATTATTTATTACTCTCAAAAAAATCATCAGGAACACAAAATGCCCAGCTTGTGAAGATAATTTTGCGACAACTGATGGATTTTTTTGCATTTCTGAAAACAAAAAGCATTGCTATTCATTCACAACGTTCGTTCTTCCCCACTGTTTCCACCTTGTTTTTGGATCTTCTTTGCTCTCAATTGCGAGAAGAGCCCCAGTGGGACGTGCACGGTAGAAGTTGGTCTCTTCCCTCTTCTGGTCATAGTTTGTCATTGCAACCTTCTCAAAAATAAAATTTCTCACTGCCATCGAAAAGTTAGCAATACGACAAAATGGCCACCCAGTGAAGATAATTCTGTGACATTTCATGGATTTAAAAAAAAAAATTCTAAACACAAAAAACGTGACAATTAATTCACAGCAGTCGTTCTTCGGCTGTTTCCACATTGTATATGGCTCTTCTTTGCTCTGAAATGTGAAAGCCCTCTTTGGCCGTGCACAGCAAGCGCCGATAGCTTCCCTCTGCTCATCAGAGTTCGTCACTGTCACCTTCTGAAAGAATACCATTTTATCTCAAGACCTGACAAGAGAGCCTCACTTGGACATGCAAGGCAAAAGTCGATGACTTCCTTCTGCTGGTCAAAGTTTGTCATTGCAACCTGATGAAAGAATACCATCATATTTCTTATCACATTCGACAAATTAGCAGTAACACAAAATAGCCACCCTGTGAAGATAATTTTGTGACATTTGATGGATTTGTTCAAAATTTCTGATCACAAACAACGTTACAACGAATT